GTGATGGAGTGCCTTTGCCGAGGAGGGCAGCTGGAGCATTCATTAGTATCCCACACCAGCCTGGACCTCACTGCTTCTAAAGTGCACTGAGTTTAGTTCACGCTCACGCTGAGCCTTATTTTATCTATAAAACAATCTGATGAAGATCTTTACAGAGCGACAATTTTTTTAGGGGGGTGGTGAACGCTGTATAAGTTTGGTTCAGTATAGCTCCAGCGGCCATTTTGCTGCAGCGTGCTGTGAGCCACTCTCTGGTGGACTGTGATAGCCATAACGTTAGATTTATGAGCAGCAGGGTTATGTAACTGCTGGGTCCTGCGTTTTTAATCCCATGCTACTGTGCCGCTTATTTTCTAGGCTCGCCTGAGATCGTGGAGAGCGGTGGGGGAGGAGGGGGCTCCCGTCGGCTGAGAACAGCGTACACTAACACACAGCTTCTGGAGCTGGAGAAGGAGTTCCACTTCAACAAGTATCTGTGCCGGCCCAGGAGGGTGGAAATAGCGGCCCTGCTGGACCTGACCGAGAGGCAGGTTAAAGTCTGGTTCCAAAACCGACGCATGAAGCACAAGCGGCAGACCCAGAGCAAGGAGAACCACAACGGGGACGGCAAGGGGCTGAGCGCCGAGGACGGCATTCACAGCGAGGAAGAGGACGAGGCCCCCCAGTACGAGCAGAGCGGGGCCCTACTGGAAAGAGATACCTGCTCCTTTCAAAACAACACACAGCAGCTCCACAATGGAGAGTCGATGAGCTTTGCTGCTGCGCCGCTGAACAGCAATGACAAAAATCTGAAACATTTTCCCAACCCGTCACCCACTGTTCCGGGCTGCATGTCAACAATGGGCCCCGGCTCGGCATCTGGCCCGGACAATGGCGACAGTCCCCCGGCCCTGGATGTTTCTTTACACGATTTTCAACCTTTCTCCTCGGATTCCTGCCTGCAGCTCTCCGATGCAGCCTCGCCGAGCTTGTCAGAGTCTCTGGACAGCCCCGTGGACATTTCTACGGACAGTTTCTATTTTTTCTCGGAGTCTCTAACTACAATCGACTTGCAGCATCTGAACTATTAACTAGAATCAATCAAATAACCATTTTTCCTTCTTTCTTTCGGGACAATAAATATCAGGCTACAACAACATTAACCCCGATGTTATTTGTATATTCGGCACATTTATTCTGTTGATATTTGACTTGACGATTAATACAAGGTAAGGATGAGATTAAATCACTGAAGCAGCTTAAACGTGGCTTGTAATTACCATAACAACTTGTTCTCTTGGAATGGAAATTATGAGTGTTTGTGAATAATTATACAATATTAGGCCTATGGAACCTGGTCCTTTTTATTTTTGTATAGCTTCCAATGTCTTGGATATTTTTGTTAGAATACAATTAACTTGCTACAATCTTCTTTTTTCTGGTGTTTGAGTGATTTATTATCCATTTTCCAGACTTTCCTTTTTTTCTTTTTCTTTTTGCTTGAATTATTCATGTAGAAAAATATACAAAATAAAAATAATTTTTAAGAAGTAGGACATGGAGAGATAGAGACGTTATGCAAATTTAACAACAGGTTGGCAATGAATATAAATAGGCTAGACTTCGAAGTGTCGTTGAAGGCACACACGGTGTAATTTTTTTTCCCTAGGACTAAAATTTCTTTGAAAAGTTTGCCGAACCATAAAAAAATTAAATCAGTTTCCTGAAATCTTAAAACTTTGGAGGTTACACTTTTTATTAAGTCAAATGACGTATAATTGTACACAAACTGAAAAGAAAAACACTGAAAAATTGCAGCATTTCTTTAAATCTTTTGGATAATTCGCATTTACACTTAAACATAAAAAGATGGTTTTACACTGTTTGATTAAGCACCAACACGGATTTTTTTTATTTTCTCCTTCAAACTATTTTGCAGAGAGAGAGAGTGGGAGAGGGGGGAAAAGCAGCAAATATGGCAACACGAATCTAGGCATGACAGAGCTCTTAACATTGTATGCATGTTGCAGGCAAATACGCGAGCCATGTTTGCCTTCAGGAGCTCATAAATCACTCCGTGGCATGAATGAGACGGACATTAAGGAGACCAATTGTGGCGTAATGTGCACAAATAAAACCCCACTTACATTTTCATATGGGACTCCCCAATTCCTGGGCTAAAAGGGGCTGATTCTCTGCATGCGTTTGGTAATAATTCATTTTTATAGCTTGTTTAAACACGGCTCTGGCTCGGCGACAGCAGCAGCGGTAGCAGCCTGCTCAGGTTATGAGTCGCACACTTTCCCTCGTGTGTTAAAAGTAGACTAAACTCAAAACAGACTACTCGTGGACTAAATGCGATTCATCAGATAAATAATTACCAGTAAGAGCCTGCTTGCTGCATTGAACAGAGTCGGCCATCACGGCGTACTTTATTAAGAAAGTATCTGTACTTTGGGGGGGATTTTACAATCACTTTTGCACTTGTTTTAAAGGGCTTATAAAGTGTCTTGTTGTGCTGTATTGCACCTGATTTCACTTTGGGAAACACTTATGAGCTCAACTAAAAAAAAAGGTTATAGTCCACTTAAACAGGTTTATCTGCAACATGCTTAAAAAGAAAGAAGGAAAGAAGGGAAAGCCGCATAGGCAGCCTGCCTGCACGGATCGATCCAGAAACTCATCTACACGCGCGACATTCAGAGGCTCCAACGTTTATCGAATAATCTGGAAGCCATAAGCAGCTCATTGACTGGCTGGACATTAGTCTTACTGAGCAAGTGGTCTGTGTTTGAGTTTAAGGAGGAGGAGAGGAGGGGATGTATGGGTAAAAGCGGGGGCAGATCTTGCACTCCTGCACTCTGACTAACCACAGGGCCAGTTTAACCAAATCATTCCAAGAGAGCGCGCCTTGTCTGCGCACATGCGTTCACACACAAAGAGCCAAGAAAGCTCCGAGGCCTGGCGAAGTTTCCATAATCAGGCAAGGCAAGATCCACTGCGCCCACTCACTACTTTTTCACAGGCAGCTGGGAAGACGGAGGAAAGGGAGGGGAGTGATGGGTGGAGGGTATTGACCCTACTCCCCCCTCCCTCCAACTGGTGGGAAGTTTGCACCTCTTATCTTTTAAACACTTTGAAGTATCATCGTTATGCGATTACCGGTATGCATTTCTATTTCATTTGCCATACTAGTGGTAGAAGCATCCGCATCATTTACTTGTGTTAAAATTCACAATATCAGACTACAGTCAAATTCTTAACTAGAACAACTTCAGTGAATGAACACCTCCAAAAAAGTAATTATGTGGTATTGCTGCATAACATCTCACATTATTGCACGATCCTTATTATTAACAACGAGTAAGCATCATCTGAATGATGTGCTTGTCCACGTGGGGCGCCTTTACACACTGTTGTATTATTTAATTAAAAGTGAGGCGTAAACAGTGGGCTCTAGTAGTCCCCTCTGACATGTAGTGGAGTCAAAGCAGCGCAAAGAATTGTAAATAATTGATACAGTGACAAAAACACCAGCTGTCTTTGATCCATAACCACCGCTGCGTAAAGTGTTCCCTGGAATGTATAGCGATGAAATATCTCCAAGAATACGATCATATATTTTCTCCAGAGGTTAAAAACATTTGGAGATTTCGAGTGCATGACCACATGCGACCTTTGGGGGCGCTCATCCCTCCGTGTGAGCCTCTCTCACTCGCTCCCTCCCTCCCTTCTTCCCGCTTCATTCCTTTTGCTTCCTCAGTGAGAGGTTGGGCATCTGCTGCCGCTGCCGCCAGTCTCCCACGCACAAGCTCTACCCCTTCTCAACGCCGCTTGTCGTGGGCATTAATTTCGCCAACAGCTTTATTTGATGAACTTAACAGGATAATCAGCCTACACTTGCACCTCGGGCTATGTGGATGCATTAGCTCCACGACTGGCCTGGCGTTATGAGATCATTTGATCACTATACATGCATAATGAATACATGTGGGAGTGAAATCAGGGTGGATAGCAGACCCTATGACCGGAGCAGAGGGTGGAAAGAAATTAATACCACATCATCTTAATGTTCTATGTGTTGTCTTGTCGCTTCATCACCTGTGACCTCCCGGCAAAGCGAGCAGTCATATACGTCTAATGCGACCTTGATGGGGAAACAAAGTTGTGCAAAATAAAAAGGCGGTCTGTGACGGGAGATACGTTTTCTGTCTTTTGCTTCCCTTCACCGTCACTCTGTAACAATATTTTTCTCAATGTTCACGCATGAAGTGAAACATTTCGCAAGGGAATGTGACATTAATAGCCCACAGATAGCCCGTGGCAGTGACACGCACCCATCCATCCACCCATCCATCCAACTAGAAGATAATGACACCGTTATACACATGAAATCGTAACTGTTATGCGCACGTGTCACCACACACACACACACACACACACACACACACACACACACACACACACACACACACACACACACACACACACACACACACACACACCTATTCTCGTCTCTGTTCCAAAAATACCTACCTGAGGTCAGAGTGCTAGGTCGTCCTCATGGCGAGGGTGCAGAGGGACAAACGTTAATCTCCCTCTGTGGTCGTGGAAGAGCGCACAGTGGAGCTTAGAAGAAACAGTTTTAACAGTGGCCCCGCTCTTCATGCGACCCCGAAGCTGTCCACCGCTGTCTGCCTCGCAGCTCATTGTTTGCTCGGCCAATACATTAGTGGCGACGCGCGTCACCTTGATCGACGAGTGCTTGGAATTTAAATAGCCCCTCAAACACCAATCTGTCACCAGCTAAAGGGATAAGGACAAGTACCTCACTGGCTGACCCGGGCCCACGTGACAGAACCCGTTCATTGATATCGGCCCGTGCGACCCCCTCCCTTCTCTGATAAGACCTAGTATAGGTAAAGATTGGCACGGTCACTCGGGGTAAGAGGGGAGAAAGGAAGACATCAGGGGGTTGTCTGTGCAGAGGACGGTCCCTCGTTCCGGTTAGAAAAAATGCTACAATGAGCAGTTTCTTAGACTACACGGTGATGAGCGGGGAAGGTGGCTCATGCACTGTTAGGGCTTTTCACTCGGACCACGGGATTACAACTTTCCAGTCGTGCGGGGCCACTGTTAACAACTGCGGGGTGGATGACCATTTCATGGTGAGCAGAGCTTCTCCTGACTGCGTCTCTCACCAGACGGGGTCGTACCAATCTAATGCCAGCTCTCTAAGTCTCCCCTATGGGGCCCACCCGGCCTGCAGCTCTAACTATGGACCCCAAAGTTTCTGCACTACATATAACCACCATGCCCTCGCCCAGGAAGTAGACACCGCAGCTGCGTTCCCTCAGTGCGGCCCACTGATGTACTCTGGTAACATTTCCTCCTCCATGGTTTCTCAGCATCGCCATGGTTACAGTGCCGCCCCCCTGGGTCAACTGCAGTATAGCCACACTGCCTACAGCGGCGGGCACGAGCAAGCGCCCCCTTATCCAGGGTGTTCAAATCCGCTGTCACCTCTGCATGCAGCTCATCTGGAGGCTTGCTGTTCACCTCTGTCTGAGGGCGCATCGTCTGCACAGACTTTTGACTGGATGAAAGTTAAGAGGAATCCACCAAAAACAGGTTGGTGCCAAGTAGCCTATAGTGGGTGAAAGTGCGGATGCACAAAAATGCTGTCTTATAAATGATCCAAAATCTTTAAACTGGGAAGTTTTTCAAAAAATAAAATAAGCACACGAAACACTAATATATGAACTTAACTTTTAATGTAGTACTTTAGATCCTTTCACTTTAACGTAATCCACCTGTGTGATAACACATGTGTTGTATAATATTTGAATCTCTTCTAAGGCCCTTGTTGGATGTTTTTTCGAGTAGCTAATGCTATTTGGCTCGTACCTAAAAGTTGAGCCTTGTTGCACAGACACAGTATAGTCTCAAGGCATATGTGTACTCTGATCAGAGAAGAAAAAAACCCTCTTCTTCAGAGTTACAGTGATTTGTTTTCCTCTTTGCAGGGAGGTCTGGTGAGTATGGCTATGCTGGTCAGCCGAATACGGTCCGGACCAACTTCACAACCAAACAGCTGACGGAACTAGAGAAGGAATTCCACTTCAACAAGTACCTGACCCGGGCGCGCCGTGTAGAAATTGCAGCCGCGCTGCAACTCAATGAGACTCAGGTGAAAATTTGGTTCCAGAACCGGAGGATGAAGCAAAAAAAGCGAGAGAAAGAAGGGCTGTTGCCAGCCAAACTTACATCCTCGGACAGCAGTCAGGAGAAAATGGACGATGCAGCATCCGAGAAATCTATCTCAGCTCCATCTACTCCTTCTCCCACATCCTCCACTGTGTCTTCCACGGGGCCTGATCCTTTCGCCTCCAACTGAGGGTCAAGTGACCCCTTTACTTCTATGGGTCAAGGCAGCCTGTGTATACCAAATTCCATACAAGTGTATCAAAGGCAAAAATTTGTTAATGGATGACAGTTGTGCCCATACATGATGTGAACAATGCACTATTGGGGAACTCACGGACCACTTCTGGACCATATTCGTTTTATATTGTGTGTTGTGTTTGCAAGATCTATAGCCTTGCCGCCCTGTGCATTGGTTAAATTCTGTCCATTCGCTTTTGAAATTGCAATTCGCCAAAATTATGCTGTTCAAGGGACACTCAGCGCCATCTTTAAGTCTGCCTCTGAAGAGGCAAGTGTCACAAATCTGCACTCACAAATACCTCAGATTTGCCAAACTTGTGCACCTCAGCCAGTCTGATTGCACCGGATGCCATCAATTAGGCATCACACAATCAACGAGATAACCTCGGTTATCAAATCGTTAATGAGTACACTGTTCCAGTAGCCACTTAAACACTGTCTCTTCTGTGTTTCAGGTCTGTGTGTGTCAACTGTTTGTCTGTTGCGTGAGGTTTGCATGATGCGTAATGCTTTCATGTATTATTGAGGAGCTGAGTTTTATCAGTTGCAGAATCAGTCATTTTATGGCTTTGTACGTTTGAAGCTTTAACCTGCTAGCTGTTAAATCGAGTGAAGCACACAACTGTTTGGTCCAGAGAGACGTTTACGGGTCAATCATGCGTATTAAAGTGCGTTTACCTCTAAAGTTTTTTTCCTATGTGTCATTTCTAAGGGGGAGAGTGTGCTGCAGACTTTCGATTCGTTGTCATATCAAATGCTAGGGTTAAAATTTTCCTAAACCCAGCAGACAGAAAAGCAAACCTATGTTCATTTCCAACCGCTGAGAAGCTGCACGCGTCTGCTTGACTCAACCCCAAAGTCTCTAAATGTATGCAGCCATGCGCGCCACTGTCCCCGGGGTAAAGATTTACTGGCATAAGAAAGGCATGTTTATCCAGGGCAAAGATGAGAGCGAGGACGTCAGCGTCATCTGTGATGACAACCTTATCGAGCACTTGGCTTATTGAAGGGACAAAAAGAAACTATTGATTAAAACATCGAGGTTAGGGTATTGACAAGCATGGTGCCCCCGCTGGTCCTGTCACCCCCCCACCACCACCACAAGTTACACGGCGGTGTCATCATCCCCACCTGATGACAAGCCGAACTGTGACAACTTGCAGCATCGCATGTCATAATTGTGTGTGCACAACACTGCTTTGACCAGAGTATTTATATTTCAAGCTTATGTCAGCTGTCAGAGGAAGAGAGAGACAGGCTCATCTTATTTAAAAATATGCTATTTGGTCATTTGAGTTTTAATCTGATATCGATTATGTTGCTTTGGAAAATAAACTCACGCTATGAGTGCAATAAACGACCCGTGCAATGATGCATTTTAAGTGGGAGCAAAACTGGATGCATTTTTTTTAAACTGCTCTATTCAAGCTAACCTATATCCCCATTTTCAACCTAAAAGAGGGTTCTTTTGGTTCTTTTGTTGTTTTAATTCCTGGTGTGCACGATGCGAGGCCATCGTACCATAAAAGGGCAAAGAAGCGCCAAAAGAGCCATGATTAATGAGCAACATTCTCCTTTACCTTCGGATCCACCTGCGGGAGCTGCTATATTTGAGCTGCGGGGACCTGCTGAGGCAGCAGCGCAGACTACTCTGTCCAATTCAGCCCTAACAAACACGGAGAAGGAGCGTAAGTTATGTGGACAATCTGTCTTTTATTCGTCTATTTATTGTCGGCAGGCGGTGCGTCGCGTTTTCCTACAGAGGACAAAGGATGTTTTGTGTAAAACCTAACAAGGTTATTTTGGTAACTACAGGTACCCTCATTTTGCTTTTCGAGAAGTTGTTTCGGTATAAATAATCCGTACACAGACTTGTTGCTCGGGGCCTGCTTTGGAGACCAGTGTAATCGAGAACAGAAGGGCTGGAGGGAAAATGTCGAACCTCTGGAAATATTCATTTTATTTTTATTATCAAAAAAAAAAATAGATTTACCAAAACCGCATACAAGCGTTCAGTATTCATTTAAATGAACGCTAATGACAGCCCCCCCCCCCCCCCCCCCCCTTTCCAGGATTTTAACTGGAGATCGCAAAGAAACATATAACACTAAATTAAAAAGTAGTTAGTTACAGTGCCTTATTATGCGCGCAATTCTGCTTTTTTGTTAAATGGCTTAAGCGAACACATTTTTAAAAATAAATATTTTATTATTGATACTGAGAAGGTTTAGAGGAAAAGGTCGAATCACTAAACAAATAATATTTCTGATCTACTATTTATAAGATAGAAATACACATTTCAATTGCAATTTATGAAACACCAAAACTTGTAACGGACTTTAGATTAATGTATTATTTACCTTAAATTAATTTTCTTTCTTTATTCACTATGTGTTCCAAAATATTACGAATGTACGGAGGGTTTTAATAAGTATGTCTAATGTCGTTTAGTTGCCGTTTTTAAAAGCTATCTTACTCAGATTTTCCACGGTGATTCTTTACGTTTGACCTCCATTTATTTTACCTAAAAATATTTTTGTTTTGGGTGAAAAGTGTGACTTTAGTGTTAAAATTAGTTTATGTTGTAAGTTAATGGTGAAGAAACTTTACTTTTTATATACTTTTTGTCTTACGCAATTTACCTCCATGTCGTCACTGAAAGAAAAGTATCTATGTTAAAGCAGACCTTTAAATCCCTTCAAGGACCCTTGGGTGTCCCTGGACCCCAGTTTTTAGGTTCTCTGAAGCTCCCTATACGACCCCGTGCGCTCTAGAAGCCATGCAGAGTGGGGGGAAACACTGGAAAAAAAGGGTCAATCCTCGGTCACGGTTTGACTTTTGTTGTCACAGCACCACCCAAAGCTAAACAACAGTTTACTGGGTAAACAAGCACCTTAACAATGCATTCACAGTTCAACTACGACGGCCTGTTTGACCAAAACACTTTCAGACTCCGTGTTAAACTGTTAAAAAAATGACCTCAGCGCAGTGAGATAGAGCGATTTCACTGGTCCGACCGTCAGAATCCAGCACTGCGCGGCTGATGTTTCCCATTAAGGACCTGAGATAAACACGTGGACGATGACAGATGTTTAACTCAAACCATTAGGGCTTTGGTGCGGATGACTAAAGGTTTAAAGCTTATGACTTAACAAACTGATGCAGGAATTGGATTCCTATTCCTATTAAGTGACTGAAACAGACGTCTTGTATGCGACCAAGCATATTTGTGCCAGTATACTGAGTTAATTAAGCATTTTTTTTTTTTTAGCTTTTCAAATAACAGTAGAAACAAAAATAAGTTTGAATTTCAACTGAAATATCTGGCGTGTCTTCCTAACTACATAAAGGCAAATTTTAAATTTATTTTTGTGAAAACTGCGAAGCAAACAAAAAATAAATAAGTAAATAAATAAAAATAAATGTAAACGAATACGAAGAGGCACTTGGGAAATACTATCATTGCAAAACATAATCCACCAATTGTGAAAAAGATTAACTTATTTTATAATTAAATTAAACCATAACATTTAAAAAAGAGATAGAATAATAGAATAATAAAATGTTATTAATATCAGCTCAAACATTCACCAATATTTAAATTTAAAGTGAATTTGGAAAACAATGAAGAAGCCCTCCAAAGTCTACATAAGCAAGAAATGATAAACTTCTAAAGCAAACTGCATGACAACAATAATAATAAAGTGTCTACGTTTTTATTCAGTTTCAAATCAAAGTAAAATTAATTATTTTACTATATTTTAACCGAATTAAAATATTTGAAAGATATTTTTCTATTTTATTTTGAAATATGCATTTTTTCTGTTTTGTTTACGTTTTCTTCTCTCACTAACAATAACTGTATTAATGGCCTTCTACTGCAGCATATTGAGAGCGATTCTTAATTAGTGATTAGTGTGTATTTTAGACTGTTTCGGCAACCAATTAAACACTTCGGATTTTTTAAAAATGTTTTACATTTTTACACTGTAAATAAATTATGAAACAGACCATTTCTAAAAGGTGATTTAGTTTAAAGGCTCAAGTACACTGCCTGGTGGTGACTGACAAATACTTTTGAAATACTTGTTGAAGCTTTCACTTTACATTATATTGTTGCATAAAAAATAATTTGTGGCGGTGTCTTTCCTCCTGCATGATTTATGAGAGCCAAAAGAGAAGCAGTTGATGAAAAAAGACCCACAGGCTACAAACCTGAGAACAAACAAATCTGTACGTCTATACACACATCCGCCTGGAAACACAGTACCGCATATAAGAAATCTAAATGTGACAGTTTGAAAGCATTAAGGAATGATTTTGCACGTGCAAGCACATACGCGCACACACACACACACACACACACACACACACACACACACACACACACACACACACACACACACACACACACACACACACACACACACACATATGCAAACACAAACGAAAGATGGAAATATAACTCCAAAGATTGCATCTCTACTTAGTCTTAGTCTTAAAAGACTATTAATTTATGATAAACCTGATAAAATCGGGAAAATAGAGGGATGGGGTTTCAAAATAAGCACACTATAGAAAGTTCAAAATCTGGGTCATTACACCATCCATTGCAAATTTTAATTGGACACTGATATAAAAATTTGTTGCTCAAAACCTTTGTAATTAAGTTCCATTCCTCCAGTGTGTCAGAGAAACTGCTGAGTAGCCTATGCAAATACAAGGTGAAGGCAGATAACTGCAGAAATAATTGTCATGTCCTCACACTCTGCAAAGTTCATTTCATCTTCACATTTTTACAATGTGTGTGTATGTGTGTGTATGTGTGCGTGTGTGTGTGCGTGTGTGTGTGTGTGTGTGTGTGTGTGTGTGTGTGTGTGTGTGTGTGTGTTCGTGTGTGTGTGTGTGTGCGTGTGCGTGTGCGTATATGTGTGTGAGTGAGAGTGGGTG